TTCTTTCCCTTTAAGCTTTCCTTCAATTTGTCTTGAAGCTGATTAAGATTGTTGTGGACATCCTTTGAGTCAAATGAGTGAATTTCTTGAAGTAACCCTTTCGTTATTCTCAAAGCATCATATGGCTCAGAAACACAATACCAAGCTTTCAAACCAAAATGGTTCTTCACCCTCTCATCATGGTAAACCGCTTTAGCAAGTGCTGTCTTACCCAGGCCGCCCATTCCAACAATAGGAACTACAGCCAGATTATTTCCCTTTGTATTCTTAGACAATAAACGACCAACCAAATTCTCTATATCATACTGCCTTCCAAAGATACCAGAATCATCAACCAAAGAAGTTGAAGGTGTTCTAATTTCTTGTTTAGTCGAACCAAAATGATCCTTTAAGCCAAGGCGACCAATTTGCTTTTCCAACACCTCCAATGTTTCAATGGTTTCTTCCAACTTCTCCTTTATGTTAAGGAAAAATTCATCAGTCAAGCACAGGTTAAGGTCACTTACTTGTTTATTGCTTGTTTCTGCAAGATTTTGATGCTGGCCTTCCACCTTAAGCCTCAAAGCTTCATAATTGACTTCTTCTATCAAGTTTTCAGCGCCGTCTACAGCACTCTGAAACTTATGAAGCCACTGGCTCACGTGTCGATTTGATGCTTGTTTATTCTCTGCATCACTTAGCACAATCTGAAGACCAAGCAAAATGTCCTGCAGCTTGTGTAAAAGCTGAACATGATCCTTATGCTTCCAAAACATGTTGAGCAGATCACCATGAGGAGCAAGCCTATCAAAGAGAATATTCAAAGCTGAAGAGAGAAATGCACCACCAACTGCTAACCCAATCTCCATTTCTGAAATCTGCAAAACAAAACAAGTAAAGTGAGAACAATAGTTTAGAGAAAGATAAAATGTTTGTATGTTCAATTACTAACAAGTTTACTTTACCTGTTGAATGCTAAGAGTGATTTGCAAACAAGAATGGTACAACAATAGTTTTCTACAGTGACAGCTATAGGAAAATAAATAAATTTAAGCTGTCTTTTCCATGAGTATGACTTTTCCCCCCAACAAGACTTTGTCTTCATAATATTTTTTTATACTTGAAAACATGTCAAGTTGGGAATTTGATAACATCAAGAGGTACAGTGAAATGATTAAAATTTCTCCCTTGTAGTTGTTTTGTTATATATAATTTTCTTTATATATATAATTTTGTCGTATTTAATTAGAAGTTTCGAGCTTGAATCGTTGTGATAAAGTTTCTCTTGATAGTGCGAGCTAAAACATTCCAAGCAAATTTAGATTACGTGAAAACTTATTTGTATTTGTTATTTACAATAAACTAACAAATACATGACATATGTTCACGCAAAGACTTTTCAAATTGGGAGGATTGCCTCAAGCTATATTGAGAGGATTGACTTTTTTTTTGTATAGAGGCAATAACGTGGAGTTATGGTGTAGAATTAAATAATTATTCTAAGCTTATATTAAGTTCTAACGTGTATTATTCCTATTTTTAAAAGGGGGAAAATGAGTTGACCTATAGTTTGGTGGGGACCACATACCTTGATAATAATCATATATTATTATTATAAGTGGGAAGCTCCAACATTCAAAGTTGGATTATCATTTTGCCCCTAGACTAAATAAAAATGTTATAAAACATGTAAATAATAAAATATTAAATAGTTAAAAGTTGAGTAATCATTTTATCATTTAAAAAAAAGTTATTTATCAGTAATTTAACTACATTTAATTGATAAAATCTTTTCATCTCCCCATTAATTAACCTAATACAGATTACTTAAACTCAATTTACAATCCTACTATTTCATATCTCACATTTACTATTTTTTCCCTTGAGCTTCCAACGGTTATGTGAACTTTTCATGTTCCTTGTCAAATAGAATTGGAGTAATATATAGTGCATGTGCAGTGATTTTATACAACTCAAGTCACATTAATCTTTCATCTTTAAGCTTTATATAATATATATAGATTAGCAGCTATATGCCATAAAAGTTTAAATATATAAATATATATTGTTGATTGGTAACTACTTTATTCCTCTTATGCTCATTTTAGTTCTCAACAATATATATTTAATATATGAAGATTTCCTTGAGTTTGCTAACTAATTCTTATTTATTTCTCTTCATTTCAGATTTTGTTTGGAAACTGTGTGCTCTTCACTTCTCATCATCCGGTACATACTGGATATGCTATTTACAACTCTCTTTTTATCAATTTTATTATTTCACATACATAAAATATAGTTTGTAGGAAACGTAATATAGAAATAAGATTTTTTAGATTTGAGAAATTATCTGTATAATTTTCAGGATATTTAGATCTTATACTTTTTAACATCTTTTACATATTTCAACTTTTTATATCAAGTCCCTTGTTCTTTAATAAGGATTGATTCTTATTGTATTTCCTAATGCAATTATACTTAAACAATACAAGTAATACTCTTATGTCAAATTTTCATATGAAAGAAAATGTTCTTGAATAGAGATTGATTCTTATTATATTTCAATCATACAAATAATATTCTTATGTTAAAGAAATCCTAATCTTGAATCAAAGAAAGGATATACATGTACATGCAATTATAATTAATATATATTGATTCAATTTTTTGATGTCAGTAATAATTTATTATCTTCGTCATAATATAATTACTACTTTTATTACTAGGTGTATTCTATAAAATTGACAATGATATTATAGCCATATTAAAGAAGACATATATTGATCAACTTTTTGTTCAATATTTACAAAATACTACTTTCATTCGCAACAACTTCTTGTTATGCATACGACTATAAGAGGAGGAATTCCCAGTTTCTGAAAGTCATGACATAAATTTTAAGATGTGAAGCATTTGAAAACATAACCAACCTTGCTTATGTTCACATTTAAACTATATGGTGTGCCTATCAGAAAACATGGAAAGTGAATTAATATTTTAAATTTCAACAATTTCTATTTTATAATTCAATTTTTAAAATATAAAGAAGTTTTATAATAGTAATAATATGGGACAAACGTGCAAAGCACGTTCCCAAAGACTAGTAGGTATAAAAGCAAAAGCTACCATGTCTAATATTTAACTCAATATAAATATTAAGTAAAGATTCAATAAAATTTTAAAAAGTACACATTTGTTATAATGTTTTTCAAGAAATATTAATAGAGTGTTGGATGATTTTTTTTACTAATTAACGTCTGTCAAAATATATAGGAGTAAATTTGTTATAATGTTCTTCAAGAAACATTAATAAACTTTATTTTGTAGTTTAAATTTGGTAATTTAAAAAATATGTTTAACCAAGTTTTTGTTGTTACTCAGAAGTCGAAGCTCCACGTGCTATGCATGTGATGAGAAATTAGTTATACTAAAAATGGAAAGAATGTTAGGCAAAAGTTAAATCATTATTTTGTTTCTATACTAAATTATAATCTAATTAATTAAGTATTCACATAATTTTCTCATATTTAATAAGAGCTTTCAAGCTTGAATCGTTAGGATAAAGTTCCTCTTGATAGTGAGAGCTAAAACACCACATAGTAAATTATTATCAAGCAAACTGGGATTAGGTGAAAACTTAATTGTACTCCCTCTGTCCCTAATTACTTGTCCACTTTTGAATTGACACACCTATTAAGAAAACAATAATTGACATAGTGAGTTTACCATTTTACCCCTATTAAATTATGAAGTGGGTGAATTAAAAATTTAAGATTTTCAAGAAGTTCTATCTTTTTCATAGTAATTAATTGAGGGTATAATAGGTAAAAATAATTTGTCAAAATGGACAAGTAATTAGGGACAACTAAAAAAGGAAAAATGGACAAGTAATTAGAGAAAGAAAAAGTATTTGTTATTTACAATAAACCAATAAATACATGTCATATGTTTAGAAAAAGACTTTTCGAATTGGGAGGATTGCCTCAAGCTTCAAGTTATTGGGTAGGTTGGAGTAAATGGATGGTTTCAAATTGGGAGGATTGACTTTTTGGTATAGTGGCAATAACGTGGAGTTATGGTGTAGAATTAAATAATTACTCTAAGCATATATAGTAAGTTCTAACGTGTACTAAGAAATTGTTTATGTATTATTCCTATTTTAAAAAGGAAAAAAAGAGTTGACCTATAATTTAGTGGGGACCACATACCACCAAAATTCACATTTTATATTGGAAATAAAACTTTCGCCAACTAAGCAAAGAATCTATCGTTACCAAAATCTGATCAAGAAAAAATAATAATTAAAACTCGCTAATAGTTGAGGCCAGGTAGATCGTTGTTTGGATGATTTTAGATGTTAAATTATCTAGAAATGACCTCTTGTGTTTTTCTTTTCTACTATACAGAAATGTGAAGACAAAGAAAGACCAAGGGTAAAGAAGTAAATTTACACTAATAAATACATTTTCTTCATATATCTAGAACCATCCATTACATTCCGCCAAGGATAAAAAGGTAAATTTGTGACTAGATCTATGAATTGGAAATGGAATTGACTAGAATTGCATCAATGTGACAACACTCGGTCTTTCTTTTTTATTTTCTTCCAATAGTTCGATCTATCCAGAAAAATTGTCGGCCTACCCCATTCTACCAGCAAACCCTTTCTTTTAGTCGGGCAAGGACTCTCGGTTAGCCGTTTTTTTTGTTCTTTGGTCATAGTGGTTGTTTGAATCTCAAGTTCCATTGTGTTGCACTAAAATTGTAACGTTATCCATCAATGAAATTGAAACTTCAAACCCTATGAAATTTGAATAATATGGCCTTTAACTTGACCTCATTTCACATTTATGTCCTCCAACTTTGGGTATGCACAAGTAGACACTTTAAATTGTATAAAATTGAACAAATAAACACATGTGCCTTACGTGGCATAATACACACAAGACACCACGTAAGATGAAAATTTTCATGTAAGATGTTACTTAGGTCGTTTGTGTCTATTTATTCAACTCTATACAAATTTAAGTCTCTACCTGCGCACATCCAAAGTTGGAGGACATATATATGAGTTGAGGCCAAGTTAAAGGTTATATTATTTTTATATTAGATTTAAGTTAATTTCACGAGATTCACCTATTGTCTTGATCGTGACTTCTCTACTCTTTTACAAAGATGTCGAGAGGTACTAGCTAGTAATTTCACGGGATTCAGCCAATTTTCTTTGCATGGGAAAGCCACCGGGTTCAGAGTGGTTAAGGGAGACATATTTGAAGGATCGAATCAATAATTTTGGAAGATTGAAGGTTGATAAAAATCTTAGAATCAAGGGTCATAGAAACATAAGGATTTGTTGTTGTTGTTGCAAGAGAAACTACAGTTAAAGAATATATATGTCGAATTTAGAAGGCATTTTTATAATATAGCAGTAGCCAGAGGACCTGAAGCAGCTA